CACGTGGCAGTGGTGGGTCACTAAGTTTCTAAAATATGGAGCAGATCTAAAAAAGGTGGGCGCAACTTCGGTAGAATTCAAATTTTTACTTGCACCGTTGCTTCTTTTCCCGCGATGATTAAAAATCATTCATCATCACACACTTCTAGAACATGGTTTCCACCCTTGGAATCACCAGCACTCCCCTCACCCGGAAATTGTATGAATAGACCACTTCCCAATCGGAAGCGTTTCTAATCTGAAACGTTTTACTGTTCCTTCTTATCTCGACAGGATCGTTATCACAAAGCTACACTGTCGATTGGGGTAACACTATCAGTTAAAATATCTCTGTCGACAGGCAGACCGTAAATAAATGTGCACAGCAAAGATAAATAATGCACATGCACAATGTGTATAACCCAAAATAAATAAAGCGAAACATTGCAGTGTTGTACGAATTCAAGCCACCAAACCTCGGCTACTAGCTTGCCTTAAAAATAACTTACTGACTAGACATTTCTAGATTGTCACTTTCTCTGTTGGCCTATTACTTAGAACTGCATATTAGAACATGGTAATATATGACTACGTTGAAATTATTATGAATAACAAACACAAATTACTATTAATTCTTTTAGAATTATGTAATCTCCTTTATTTCATGATCAGTTACAAAACGTTTGGTTTGGATTGTCTTAAAAGGGTTTAGAGTCAAAGTTAATAAAAAATGTAGTTTGGGTAAAAATGTCACTCTCGGGTCAAATGTAAGATTTGCATCCAATCAACAGAGCAAAATTCTGTTACTCGATGGTTTGACATGTTATTCAACTACTGTTTATTCAACAGCTGAAATACGCGTATTACATAATTAGCATATTGTTTAAAACCCAGTGCAGGTTATTGTAGAATGTCATTAAAGATTATGCCCCAATTCGTGGAATGTTTGCGTGTTTGTGTCGCAGACGGTTATGCTGGTGTATTAACCTCTTTGCGAACGTGCGGAGCTGATGAATATTGTATAGTGCTATATATGTTCCTTCACTGAAATGCATTGTAAATGCAAGGACACCCAACAAGGTATTACAACCGGTCATATCATACTTACAAGGGGTAGACCAGGTGTTGTGTTGGTGTTGTGATTACCCTATATTCTAACTATTAAGCAGGGAATAGAAGCTACCAGTTTTAGTGTACATGCATTAAAAAATGTTGCAAAAAGAAATCAACAAAAAAAGCAATCAATTTATTTTGTATAACACGCAAACCGAATCGAGACCGACTTGTTTTGTTAAACAAGAAAGTGATTGACGTGAAAAATTCCACCAATCAAATCGAACTCGTTGCCATACCTTGCTGATCAATATCTGCAAGTTAACTGAAACCTAATCAGTTTGGACCTGCAGTATGCACCTAGTTAAACATAAAATGGCGAGAAGAAAACTATTGTGGAAACTTTTGTTCGTTGGCGTACTAGCAGCTATTTCTCTGTTTTTATACAAGTCGGAAAATGTGCTGTCTTGTTCAAGTAAGTGTGGTGTGTGATTAGACTTAATACAAGAACATGTTTGACCAATTATTTTTATTAAATGAACTTAAGACGCATTCGCATTCCTTTCTTTCTTGTATCGATTCAAACATTAAAACAGTTATCATAAAGTGTTCACCTTTTTCAAACAGATTTAAAACAATGTATATATCAGTTATTGCGAACCACTATTTAAGTATCAACTATGTGCATATAATTGACGGGTGTCTTTTTTGTGCGAACGTTTAATTAGAGTGATATAATTAAGTTGCATTATGCAATTATTGTGCAATCATAGTGAAATTGTTGAATACATAGTATTTAAACCGAAATATAACACAATAGGTACCACTGTTGATTTCTTATTTATTTTTAAACATTTATGATGTCATGAATTTCTGGACGTATTTCATTAATCGCATTAGCAATACTTGTTATCGCGACCATCCACGAGCTACTCCCCTACGAAGAGTTCTTGCTGGAAAATGCACAAGTCTCGCAAGAGAATACGAGGATACGGGGGCAAAACAATCTGCCATGTGTAAACAATATGCCCCACCTTCGCTGTATTGAACCAACACAAATAACTCACAAGAATAGAGGTCACATCAAATGCATTTAGTGATGACATTCCAATCAAACTGTTTGTCCAAAACAAGCCTTCTGACGTTTCATTTACATAAAGGTAACACACGATACTCTGTACGCCGCTGACGATCCGTCACAACTGTGACGCGTTAGTTTCGTCCTCTTGTTCAATATCTGGCCATTTAACATGTCTGCTTGCTGTCATAGGTATACTAGCTCCCCATTTTTCTAATTTGGAGTAGGTGATACCTTTTGACTTTAAAGTATTACCAAATTCATTACATGGAAGTTCGTGGAAATTCGTATCTGAATGTTTTGGCGCTGCCATGTTGCCCGTTGCCCCAGCGAGTACAGTTTAATCCCCTCCTATTTGAATAGTTCCGCTGATCGCGATATCATCTATTCATGACAAATATGTTTAAATAATGGTACATAAATTATAGAAATAAATTTGATTGCATATTTGATTACATTCATTGATGCAATTACGAATAAACCAAATATTTTTTCTTGGTTTATGCATGGTTACCAAAATAGCACAGAGAGTGTACTTATTTGCGGCGAAAAGTTCTGTGACTTATGTTATGGCTGGTGGCGGTGCCAACATGTCTTGACAACAAAACACCAAATATAGTTCTATCTATAAATAATAAATTTCTTCCGTGTGGCATATTTTGAGTTATAAGCATTTATTACGGGAAAAAACTTATTGTACCAATAGTGTTAAATCAACGTTGTTAAAAATGCATTTTTATTGACACAATTACAACGACTTCCAGGTTGAGCGGATGGTTAATAAATAACAAGAGTAATGCAGTAGGCATGTATCAATGCGCACTACGACTAGGTCACTTGTGTAATTGCAAAACAATGAATGCATTCTCATCAATGTGTTAAAATATACATAATGACGAAACAAATATTTAAATAACACCAAGTTCAATTCTACATGATCTAAACTCGACAGGGTATTCTCTGCCGACCCGCGATATTGTGACTACCTGTCAGACGACAACAAACTAAGTAGTTTGACTAGACACTCAAAAAATAAATCACATTCGATTCAAACGCACAGGACGCAAGTCAGAGTTGGTTTGATGTATACGATGGCCGATAGCGGCCGTCACATCTTATATCTAAGATGAATAAGACTTGTACATGTACATTTTATAAAATGTGTACATATTATATATCATAACGGTTAAAATACCTTTCGTGATAAGACCCAGTCCGAAACAAAGGTGAAGTAAAGCAGACACCTTCTAGCTTATCCGTAGCTTTTGTTAAGAATATAAACCGGTCTTTTTCAGAGGACAAGTCGAGTATATTGATTAATTTGGTAAAAAAAATAAACTTCCCAAAAATAATTGTAATATTACGCCAACAACTGAGATATTTTAAGCATATTGACTGCATGTTTAAGAGAGCTTCCATAGTTGAAAGGACCATTGCGGAAATTGTTTATACATTATTTAATACTTTATATACTTAAATGAAATATTGATATCTCTTAAGTGGAAAAATAACAAGATATCTTATACTTTAAGAATAAATGTAGAGGTAATGAGGTGTCTGCTGCATTATAAATGTCCAAATTTTAATACGTTTTAATTAATTATGTTTTGAGATATACATGCACACTATTATTCATTATGGCGAAATAATATTTTATATCATTAACAATTTCAATTTCAACATATTTTATTGATAATCATGATCAATTAGATTAAACATCAGACTAAAAGCCTTTATTAAGTTCTCTCCATAATACATTTTATTCAAATAATAGCTGGTAATTGATAAAAATGGAAATTATGTAATATACAGTAAGATTAAGTTCATCATATATATATATCATTTTACTTCATACACTTCTTGTATTTTGGATATAAAAAATAAAACATGTTGCTATATACAAATGCAGCTGTTTTAATCTCTATACGATCTAACCAGCCATGACCATATACTTTTATACTTTTCTATTCCTATTTCAATTATACTCCACAAATAAGTAAAATTTCTGGAAAATATCCTTTTTCTACTTTACCTACTTTTCTATCAAGGGTATTCTTCTACGGACATAAGAGTTTTCAGTTGAGCATGTTTGTTTGTTGTAAAATTTGTTCAATCCGTCTTGTTTTACAGTGTCCATCTTATACATTGAATTACATAAAGATAAGCTATCTGTTTGCATTTAAAATTACAATAACTCAACAGTTTTGACAACTGTGGCACTCCTCTTACCCTTGGCGGATATAGCCATGTTTTCATAATTCCCTCCACTGCCATCTAGCGGATATACCGAGTTATCGCTCTACCCCTAAAAAACTTTGAACCAATCAGAATGACAGTTATATACACACTCCATCGGCGTTTTGATGTAAGCACGTGTATGTCGAGGCGGAGTATTAATGACAGCGCAATATGGAAACAATCCAAAGACAGCACACATATTTTTCCAGCTCATCAATTACATGTGGCACGAAGTCAAGGATTTCCGTTTACATGTGGCACGAAGTCAAGGATTTCCGTCATCTGATTCAACACTCCTTTTTTGCGTGTATCTGTGCCGGAGACAGGGTTTGTTCGTGTATTTGCATTCTTTTGATAGCGCGGATCTGATGCCGACTAAACAGTGCTATCTCACTGAAATACTGTGCCGAATGCACACAGCACAGCATTCCGCCAGGTCACATTATACTGACAACGGGTCAACCAATTGTTGCCATTACCTTAAATGCTGAACGTTAAGCAGGGAATAACGGCTAAGCAAATTAGTATTCAAACACGACAATATGTGCTTTAGCTAACAACACATTAATGCTTTGTTAATTAACATGTCACATTTTGTTTTTTCCTGTGTTAAAAGAATATTCATTGCAGATTTTCTTTTGTGTTATTTCAGATACATTGAAGAACCAAACAGTTATTGTTTACAAACCTAATCCGATGTACATAATTCAGCAAAAATGGTTCAAAACAGGACTGGCTAGTATAGAATATAATGTAAAACCAGCAACTTCTAAGCACCAAAACAACACTGCAGAAGAACTGTCAGGACGCTTGAGGAATATGATGCATGCTTGCAGCGCCAAAGTACCATTTTTACGAGTATATGGGAGAGAGCCTGTATTTTTCCGCTCAAATACAACAAACATTTCGTGCTGTAAGGTTCCAAAAACAGGAAGTTCTTTTTGGGGAGCAGTAATAATGGCCATTGAATCAACAAACACGTCTCGTAACGTGTTTAATATTAACCGAAATACTATCCATGGTCATAATGAAGTTACAATACACAAAGTCGTTAAGTCTGATACAAAAATACTAATCGGAAGAGACCCGTACACTCGACTGTTTTCGGCCTTTATCGACAAGTACTTTCTACTCGGAAATCTTGGGAGGTCATTAAGGGACGCCGTCGGTGCAGGTCCTTACCGAAAGGATGGAAATATATGTGGTTACAACGTCACGTTTAGTCAGTTTCTTGAGGACATCACACATCAAGTTTTTAAAGGGTTTCAAATAAATGAACACTTAATCCCAGTTTCTGACCTCTGTGACGTATGTGGAATGAAATACGACATGTTGATTAGGCAGGAAACCCTGAATAGAGACACACAACACCTCTTACGCAAGGTCGATTTAACAGCATTTAAGCGAACTGCAATACAAGTGGCGGTCAGTCCCAGGGGAATCAAACAAACAATTCATTCGTTGATTGCTTCGTATTTAACAGACTATGCCACCTACCGGAAAGATTGTCCGTCCCGTGTCCTTCACATGGAGAAAGTGTGGGCCACTCTCCAGATACAGGGGTATGTCAACACAGGTGTATCATACCCAAAACAACTCTTTGAAAACATCCGTGAATACAAAGCTGACAATATTACTTCTATTGTTCTTCATGCGATCGAATCTCGACCAATGACAAATGAGGAGAAAATAAAACAAAGGGCGACATTTGTGCGACGAGCGTACGAAGTCGTCGAGGACGAAACTATTAGGAAAGTGCAAACAGTATTCATGAAAGATTTTATATTGCTCAACTACGACCTTACACCTCCGCACAAAAGATGACCAAAACATGATAATCTAGCTTCATTTTAATTTGCTTGATGTGTTTAGTATATTTTATCCGTCATTTTTGTATTTTGAAATTCGTGGCAGTATATCGTGAAATTAAATATAACCAAAACTGTTTTTTGGCATTTAAATAATGATTTTGAGGAGTGATAAAAAGTAAGAATATTAATTCTCTATAAAAATGAAATTCACAATTTTAATAAATCACATTTTGACCTTTATCGCGGTTTAAACGGTTGAACGGGTTGGACCAGAGTTTTTTCTTTATGAAATAAGATCGGATCCAGTAATCTGATGCTGGTTTCATGCGAGCTTCGACAAAGTATTACAAGAAGTCCATACATTTGACTCATATAAGAGGTGTTGCACCATGGTGTTATTTCAAGGTCATCTGTCGTAGTAATATATCTAGCTGCGTCAAGTTTGAGTAGAACGACCACTTCATTTCGGAGTCATATTAAGGGGGGGGGGGAGATTTTTTCGTTATCCCCCTTTTTTAATACTTTTATTCGTAGGTAAATTTTTAATTATTGGTAAGATTATTGTATGGTTCTAATATGAATTTATGCAATTGATGACATAATTAAGCCAATATATAAAAAGGTCACAGTGACCTACTTATCAACCATGTGTTACTCTTAATATTTGCAGCTTAAGTGTCACGCAATACACCAAAATAATGAAGGAACTTTCTAAAAATAACATGCAGTTTTGTCAAAAGGCGTCCATTTGTGATTTTAATCCCCCTTTTACCCCCTCATATCTCGGGATTGTCTCCCAAGCTGACCTTAATTTCATGTCATATCATGATGGCATAACCCCAAGGTATGTATATAGCAACCAGAAGGCCACAATTGGCATCCCTCCTTTGTTGTTAAAGAAGATAGGTAACAATTAAAGTGTTGTATATAGATGTGTATCAGACTATCATAATATATAACTACGGTAAACAAACGCTAATTTAAGGTTTTGGAAAGTCGAATCTTTGGCATCATAAAATGTACAACTCCCAGTTAAAATTAAAATTAGCTCTTTTTGGCTCCTAAATGTGAAAAAATGCACCTTTTCTTTTGTTTTATGATAAACGATTATTCATGAGTATTTATGTATATATTGTTATGAATGTCGCTAGTTTCTTGTAGTAGCAAGTTCAAAATTGTGCTATGACTGTATCGTGTAACTGAAGTTATTGTGAAATGCTTTTAAAACAAAATTAGTTTTAATAAATTGCAAGTGAAAAATTGGATACCAAAATGTATTCGTCAATAGGTATAGATGAAATTTAACCTCTTGTTTTATGTAAGGTGTTTACATTGTTACATCACTGTATGCTTTAGAGAATAAACAATAGTATACCGATTTAACATGATCAAAACAACTGGCATCATTATAATAACCATTATATCAATGTATGTACAAAAATCTTCAACCATATAAAACAATGACAATTATGTAGATGCCGGTAATATGTGTATGCAGCGTTAAAATATTTCAACAATAGTACCAGCATAATTGATTATTTTGATTTTGGAAAGTGATGTTATCAAAAAGGTTTTGAAATGTTTTTCGCATCAACACAAAGTATAAAAACACATTAGGCATCGGTAAGGAAGGAATACGAAATTCAATGAACTAATATTGAAATGTAAGAAACATAATCAACTTTTAAACTGCATTTTTCCTGGAATGTGGAACTACCCATTGCGACTCTATAGTGATTTTAAAAACACTCATTATTGGATAGATTTTTAAACAATATATTACGTGTCGAAATATTTTGGCTATTTAAATCCAAATATTAAATGATGGTGAGTGAGCAATGTACACACCGTCATTATGTCCCATGTGTATTGTGTTTTATCGGCCACATCAGGAAAAGAAATTAAAACAAAATTAAAATTATACCTTTTTTTCATATGAAACGGAAAGTTATGATATATCACATATTTTTGTTTATAACAACAATGCTGATAATGTATTGGTTACCATTTCAATATGCGATTTATTTAAGTGATTTGTATTAAATTAAACATGGTTGGTTTGTATTTCATTAAACATAGTGTTGAGAAAGGTGATGGTTGTCATCTTACTTTTGACTGAATGACCACCTTAAACTTATATTAGTTTTAAAGCATGCAATAAAATGTAATGCAATAACCATTTTTATTACAATTGACCTAACTTCAACATGAAACTACTTATTTTACGAATGCTTTATTACCTGAGAACTGATGAAATATATAAAATATTATGACAGATATGGGTTTTTTTAATAAAAAAGGGGCCAGCACCTTTATCCTTATAGTAGAATGTAGAAGGTATTTTTATTAACTTTTTTTTTTTCAACATGATTTAACGATAAATTGATTATGTATATCATATCTCCAATGTATTCTTGTTGATTGTTAAAAAATTATGCAAATTTTGTCGGTCAATTTTGTTTAATTTTCGAGGGAAATTTAGCTTAAAATACCAGCTTGGTTACTCTCATAGCCCGATTACACAACCTCGAGTTAGAAAGCAATTGTTATGTTACCCAGAGACGTATATAACACATAAGGCTTTATACGTCTCTGTGTTACCCAATCCTAATAAAAATGCCGAAAAATATTTCTGTTAAAATATGGCCTAGTCTATAACAAAGTAAGGGTAGACGGGGCAGCCAGAATAACCGCCTACCAATAAACAAAGTTAAGCAAAACTATTACGTTATTATTACATTACTTAACATTCAGACGAACATGTCGTTACTACATAAAACATCTAACCGCAATCCATGCTCCGAAATGACTCGGCAACCGCATTCAATATCAAAATATTTATCGCGATTAACAAAAACATTGAAGTCAAATATTCCATTAACTCTGACAGTTAAAAAGGGGGAAACGATCAATACAGAAATCAACGCTCACCTGTCACAAAGTACCCGTATGTATGTGCCTATCAACAAGTGTAACGTACCATGCCGTAACTCAAAGCCTACATAAATTTTGTTTTGTAACAGTTTCAATGTCGCAATGCTAGTGTTAAATCAACAGTCTATAGGAATCATAATTTACGATAGGGAGATAAATGCATCATATTGACCACATGCATCCGACAGAGACCAGGTGCCTTATTGTAAAAAGAGAAATTTATTGTTTGAATGAAATGCGAGGGTACGCCATCGAATTATGGCAGAGATAGGGGAACACTTATCAAGAAAGCGTGGCGTGAGGATTAAAACAAAGCTTCGTTGTTTATCGTTAGTATAAAATATGCGAAAGTGCATATATCATTTACAATCCTCATTTCAATACAAGTACAGCACTTTAACACGAATTTCCAATATTACAGTTTTAATATAATTATTATAGTATTTTGAACAAATCGATGTTAATTCGGGTAGCCTAGTGCCATAGAAAATAAACAAATTGACACATCACAACTTCATCAAAAGTTGGGTTTTTTCAGAATCATTACATAATATATATATCTGGTAATTCCAACAAGGAAAGCTGGAAGGGTCTTAATACACCGTCCTCAATTTTACCATAACATACTTTTGCAACACATACGCCTTAATTTGAGAGTTATTTTCTTGTGTAATGCTAGATACTATTTACATTGCTAGATAACATTTAGTAAAATGAGTTAATCAGGGGCGTAAAAAATACAACAACAGATCTCAGGGGGATCTTGGCGCCCACCTTTGACCATCCTCATTATTTCCTTGTCAGCTTGATCTTTTCTCTACTTTTCTCTTATCTGTTGATCGAGTTAACATTGGCAAATGCACCTTGAGGTAACCTTTGATCTAAACTTTTCTGAATAAAAAACAACCTCCAAACCTTCACTGGATTGTTTATTGTGACACTGTATCTGTTGAATGAATACAATAATGAGCAGCGGACTAGGCTCAACACTTATTCCCATGCGTATAAGATCGATCTGATCAGTGGCTTGGGAAGTTCATTCCTGCAAAGATAAGAGGCGTTCCTTTCTCTTCCAAACCACCTGATAATAAACAAAAAGTTACTTGCAAATATGAACAGAGTCATAAACTACTATAGTTTACACATCCGTTATTATGATATGCCTCCTCCTTATGAGACTCCGCCGAACGATCAGATATAAATGTGTCTTGAAAAGTGTTCTATTTGAATCCCTCAAGTCGTTTGTATGCAGCCTTTTGTAACACACTTTCCATTAGAACCGAACGGGTACCATTAATATCTGGAAGAAAAGTTACACCTCCAAACTTTCTAAAATATTTGCAATAGTTCTAGGTGATCTGCAATCTTTGCTTCCTTAAAAAGGAAAGTATTTTCATCGGGGTTTCCATACTCCCATCAAATCGCAAAGCTATACATTTGATGTTTTCATAAAGAAACGTTTCTCGTCTGTATTAGGTTTGTGAAAAAGATAAAATAACTTTCTTAATATTACTACGTAATCCTTCGCTCTGGTTGTGAAAGTTTCATTTGTTCAAAACATTTCGAAACAAATCTTTCTGTCTTAATGCACGATCAGACTCAACTGTGGTGGTATTTAAAGTGATATTTTCCAGTAGATATTTCTCCACCCAACCTGCAAATGTGATGATCGCAGTATACGTGTCATTACCTTTTGTTTTGTCTTTTCAAAATACTAAGAGCATTGGATGTATTTTAAAAATGGCAAACAACTTCATTCATAAAACAAACCAGAATGTATGAAATCAATCAGGGGACAACTACTGGAAATTGAACGTAACACAAACCGGTGATTGCACCTTTGAAACTTTGGTAATAGGTACAATTTAAACATCTCCCCCCCCCCCCTTTCCCTCTTATCACCACTTCCTTCAGACCATTTATCTCTTTGCTAGCTTTCATAATGAGAGGATTTTCGTATCGTTTTATCTTAGGTCGTCATAGTATGTTATGTTGTCTAGAGAAGTCATAGAAAGTTGTTAGAACTCGTGTCAAATCCACTGATTATTAATCACTAATTATTGAATGAACGACTGATAAATCTGGATCAGCTTGAACATCCACATAATTCTACCTTCGTTTATCAGTTTTTGCAAGCTATATAAGATGTTCCTAAACCAGTTTTTAACGCTAACCCATAACACCCATGTAATATAATTTTCAAGTAAAACAAATATATTTCTCAAAATATAAAACTTAAGACTGTATTTTAATGAATATAACCATTGACTTACAAGTAATACACTTGATACAGAAAGTATCACAGATAATTAATAAAAACGCAAATGCTGTAATGCCGCATATATCTATTCTAACAAGTAAAATATAATGAAAATGTTTTCGTGTATATTTCCTTTCAGCATGCAAACATGTGTTATTTCTTAACATCTCACAACAAGATATGCGCTGTTATCATTTCAGACAGTGTGACTAACTGCCCTTTTTTTGCTTGCTTAAGTCAATTTTGAGTCATAAAATTCCACAGGCTTCATTTATAGTCGCCAATTGGTTT